TAGCTTTTTACGTATGATCCCTGCTTTTTTTTTCTTCTTTTCTACCCAGCTTTCATTTCCTTCTTGTCCCCTTGCCCTGTCTCTTTCTGTTTGTTGATATTTCTTCTAGTATTGTGATGCATGTTTTGCAGTATTGAAACTTTTCCTTGTTACTCAATCTGGAATTTACAAGGAAAACTTAAATTCACAAGGACTTTTAGATTCGGATAAATATTTTTATTTCGAAAAGAAATAATTTGCTGTAGTAATACTGTTTTCTTTCAGTCAGAATTCTTTTTTTTTTACTTTGCTTTCTCCAATTGATAAATTTGAAGAAAACTTCCTTTTCTTTATACAGGTTATGATATACTTTTTTTTTTATATAGTAATGTCAGCTCGATAAATGGAATTGTTTAATATTGTAATCTTCGCTCTTTTTTTTCCTTCTTTGTTTTATGAGCAATAGTAGAAATCAGCTCTTTAACAGCCGAAAGAAATTGTGATTTTGGAAAAACTTTTTCATTTAAAGAAGCTTTACAGTAACTTTGTGGAAAAATTAGATATTGCTCCTGGTTATGTATCATTTAAACGAATTAAAAATTTAGATTATTCACGGCACATTCAAATACTTTATACAATATATTTAAAAGTGTCTTTCAAGCATCTTTCTCCATAGAAAATAAAGAGAGCCAGAGTTTTATTGCCTTAAACTCAAAGTAAAGCTATAATCTTTTTCTGTAGATATAAACTGTACATACTATACTGTTTGAAGTAAAGAATTATATGAGCTTTAGAATGGCCGAATAGAATAAATATTTAATAAAAAAAATTTCAATTGTTTTTAAAAAATTGCTGGTTTGGCGAAGTTTTTCTACCTAAAAAGTGACTAAAATCTATGAATAATATTCAGTTTTTGCATATTTTTATGAACTCAAACAATGCAAAGTTGGAATAACCTTTTAAATGTTAAAAAAAATTAGCGCAAAAACGTTATTCGTTTTAGCGAAAATTTGACTTTTCTCCATATTAACGTTTTGCACCTATTTCCTTAATTAACATAAATAAATCTAGTTAAAGATGAACAAAACTTAATGGGTACTTTTGAATTAGCCAAGTGTAATGGAAAAGTTGTCAAAAAATTTAGACCTTCGGCAACTTTTTTTTTATTTATTTTTCAACACATAAAATTAAATTAAATGAAAAAAATTTAAAAATAGATAAATTTCTTTTTGCCCGGCCTACCGAGAAGTACTACTAATGTAAGATAATAATATGACATAAATAACTGCTTTACACTCACTTATATGACGTAAATAACTGCTTTACACTCACTAATATGACATAAATAACTGCTTTGCACTCACTAATATAACACAAATAACTGCTTTACACTCACAACAGTCATAAAAATAGCACAGTTTTCGCTAAAAATAGTCAGTTCATATGATAATAAGCATTTCGAAGAACAGCCTTCGAAGAGAAGCCTTTATTATTCTATACTATTCAATCAAACTTGCTATAGATATTTAGTAATGTTTAAATTATTCAAAATTAAAATTAAATAAATACTTCTTATTCCCGTTAATACCTAAATTTGAACCCCTTTTAGTCCTCTGTTGATCACTGAAAATACTAAATACAGACGTGGCGAAGTATCCTAGTTTGAACTACATTTATGTAAAATAAGCTAATTAAAATAAGTCAAATTGATTTAAATTTCAAAACACTTTTTTTTTGTGCGTGTATACAAGAGAAAAAAATTTGCAACGAGCAAGAAACAATGATTGCTGATATTATTATTTATTTATGTTTGTAGTTTAAACATTGGAGTGATAAATAAAATTTGATTCAAAGAACATAAGCCTAAATATCGCTTGATTTAAATCAGAAAGATTAAATAAAAATGGATGGCTGTGTGAGGTTTACGCTTTGCATCAAACATTCAAATCCAAGATTATTGAACTTAATGGACAGCAATCTAACTTGCAATGGACACAATCTGAGGAATATAAATCTGATTCGCAATAGACATAAATCTAACTTGCAATAGACATAATCTAATGTAAATAAATCTAACTTGCAATGCGCATAATCAAATGGACATGAATCTAACTTGCAATGGACATAATCTAATGAACATAATTCTAACTTGCAATGGACATAATCTAATAAGCATTCATCTAACTTGCAATAACATAATCTAATGAACATGAATCTAACTAGCAATGGTCATAATCTGATGGACATAAGCCTAACTTACAATGAACATAATCTAACGGACATAAATATAACTTGCTGAACACGCAACCATTCACTGCATTCTAATGTCAGATAAATCCTACTTCCTAACATATTCCGAAGGAAACTGTTATTTTGCAAACAGAATTTCGCATTTTAAGTGTCAGTGTGAAATGAAGACATTCCAAGGCTTTTTGCACAACAACATCCATTCCGAGTCAAATCTCAACAAAAGCATAAACAGAAGAACTGAAGTAGGTGTGGGGAGGGTTACGAAAAGTCACTCAGATATTTATTCTTCCTCTCGAGATGCCGGATTTCGGGGTTATTTATTTATTTCTCGCGAAACATCAGTCCAAAATGGCTGACGTCTGAACCCTCGTGAAACTTGCCTGACACTTTGACATCCCAACTTTTGTTGGAAAACGTGCGGCTTACGTCGAAGGTATTTAGCATTCGGACCTCCCTGCAATGCTTTGCAGAATTGTGTCTGGAGGCGGGCAATCATAACAATGATTGGCAAATGGCCCGTGAAAGAAAAAGACGGGCGGAACAGATTACCAACTTCCACAGTTCTTTCGCGGAAGCAATTGAGGTTAGGTTCTTTGCAATTTCTCTAACCACGAGTACCCTTCACAATTTTTTTTTTAACCTTAAAGTTTTGTAATCAGAGCTTTGGCATGTAAAGGACATAAACACAGGCGTTTATCTCTAATCAAATTGTCATGTAGTTTGCTCAATGGTGAGCTTAAGTTCACTAGTCTAACCTTAGTGGAAACAATGTGAACAAGTTGGCAGAAAACTTAAAGGCTTAATTGCAGTGACGTAGAAGTTGAAGGACCTAGATATAACATGAAGCAGAACTCATTTTTTTTTTCTTTTAAAGTATTTGTGTTATAATTTAAAATACATGAAAAATTTTAAATATTATTTATTGGTGATTCTTCATATTTATATGAAAATAGACTTCGGTTCAAAATTTTTCGCCGATGATTAATAATAATAGTTATAAATATCTGAAATTAATAATTGAAATAATTGAGTAATTAAGCTGCAAGTAATTAATTCAAATTTTTCATCTATTATTATTGTTATCATTTAAGGTGTCTTATATTCTTATCTTTCATCAGAAGTTAAGGAAAGTTTTTAAAACCAACAGAACCCATTTGATTTTTTTTAAATTACGCATTTCATAGATTTTATGTAATGTTTTTATATAGCATTATACCTTAGTTAAGTGAATCTAGTACCTTAGTTAGTAAAATCATGTAATATATTATTTATATATGTTATTTGCTTTAATTTGTAATAATAATATAGTTTATAACATAGTTAAATAATGTGTAGGCTCCTTTAATAATACGTATTATTCAAGAAATAATGTGGATTTTTTCACGAGAAAAATCATGTTTATATTACAAATAGCATCCTAATTAATCATGTTCCTATTACAAATGGCACCCTGCACTGAGAAAAAAAAAAGTATGGTTAAAACTACCAGAAAATGATAAAATTTACCGTGTTTCTGACTCTATGGGAACTTTAAAAAGCTCGGTAATTTTTACCGAGGTGCTTTTCCAATAATTTTGATAAAATTAACAAAAAAATATGGTTTTATATAATGTAATAAAATTTGGTAAATGTGGTAAAATTAAAATAATCTAATTAATTTCGAATATTATTAAATTTACAATATTCAGTGCACTTAATTATTAGAGGTAATTTTAAAATATCTCAGAGCATCGCGTAAAAACCATTTATTCAGCAAAATGTACTAAATTGTAATAAAAGAGCTATAATTTAGAGCATCGGAATTTCCAATAAACCTTTACCATATAAACGGAAAAATTACCAAAATAATGGTTTAAACAACCTATATTTTGGTTTACAGTACCAGAAATATGCTTTTTCCCATCAGAAATGTCATTATCATACAGTGCGGTAATTTTACCAGACTTTTTTCCCTGTGTATGATGTCAAAACTATGCAATACAACTAATTATTTTTTTTTTCAAAATTCGACTTTTAAGCAAAATAAAACTTTCTTTCAAGAATTTCTGAATACTCATCTAAATATTTTAAAGCTTTATTATCGTTACTTTTTATTTCTTTATTATTACTACTTTTCTTATAACGCCAGATATTATGTGTTTTGGATACATAAAGTGTATTAATTAAGCAATTCAATTTACTTATTCGAACCAAATATGGTTTAGTTTCAGTATTAATTAGGGAATAAAAAATGTTTAATATAAATCAATAAAATAGTTAACAAAAAATTTAATGCGAAAATTTAGAAGATAATTTCAATTAAAGATAAGTTTTGCTTTATGATACATTTTCGTACAGTCACATATATTTTATATTGTATAGCATTTAGCTTTATCGGAAGGAATTAATGCGTAAGTTTTATTATCATATTCTTGCATTAAAGGTAAGAAGAAAAAATTTCAGGGAAACTAATTTCAAAAAAATTTTATATATAGGAAAATAATTATCTTTCAGATTTTGAATTTTAAAATATGGATTAAAAAACAATAAAAGACGCTTTAGATTAAATTTAGTATATTTTTGTACAATGCATCCGCACAAAAAAATGAAAAATCAAGAAAATTTTCCCATGCTTAAAATTTCGTTTAGAATCATGTCGATTTGTAATAAAGTGGTGGTAAATTGCAATAATTTTTACTGTCTGCAAAAAAGTATAAATCGGTATTAATGAAAGCAATTGAAAATACCCAATAACTAAGCACAGTTTCTTATGTATCTTTTATTTTTTCTAGATGCATGGTTACGGAGATCCCGGCCCTGAACATCACGTGATGCCGCCAGGCGTACATGGTCCTCCGCATCAACTTCCGCCATTTCTGACGGATGATCATTCCTTACATCAACCTCCGAGCAATCTCTCTTCACACATACCAGGAACACCATCAGAACTATCTAGCCCAACTAGTGAATGATGCTTCACCCCGACCCCCACCGGTGGTCGCCAAAATTCCCGGCCGAGGAGGGGTCGTCCACCCCGAACTGCATCCGACGAAAGTTTTCAAGGAAACCATTCGTACAGTTGATCGCACACACAAATAATTCAAGGAGCTTTCAGACAACTCAAATAAACTATGAAAAATGTCAGCAGGACTATGTGCAAACAAATCGAAATGAAATGTCCATTTTGGAACAACTAAAAAATAGCAGAAATTTTTCTCCCTTCAAAAAGCATAATTTGATACAAAATTCATAGCTTTATGAAATAACACTAGTGTTATGAAACTTTCCAGGTTAACTACTTAAAAAAATATTTTAGAATAAGTCTTGATAGAAACTAATGGAAGCTGTATAGCTGTCTTAATATATATTAATAATTTCCCCAAATTTAAAAATATAATTATTTTATACAGTTAAGATGAGCAATTATGTTATGGACCACATCTCATATCTTTCTTAATTTTGGTATATTTCTGCAATTAATCTCTCGTAATTGTCTAAACTTAATAAAAACTATTCATAATAAATATTTAAAGGATGACTTAAAGGAGAATACGTTGTTGTATTTAAATTTTTAAACTGGCAAACTTATAGAGCGTTTAATTTAACACATCGACTCGAAGCGAAAAATACAACTGCATATCTATAAAAATTGTAAATTTTTGTATTTATTAAAATCTATATAGTTCATTAAATATGCTACAGTACTTTAACTACACTTAGTTTCCATACTTACTAGTGTTAAAAAAAGCTTTCATGTAAAAGAATTGAAAAATATTTCATAAATTGCGTTTTTACTTACATTTGAATGATCAGATTTTTACATCATTACATTTTAAATTGCAAACATTTAAACGATGTTTTAGTTGAGAAATTAGAATTTTTGTTGATAAATAGCAATAACTGCCGTAGGGAAATTTATATGCTATTTAAAAATATTTAATTAACAAGTTTTGCAAACAAATGATTTTATAAATTAACAAATTTTCCGTCTTTTAATATAAGTTTTGATTTCCCTTATTATTGATATATTTAAAAAACGATTACAAAAGTGTTTCTCAAAAAAAAAAATTAAACGATCGCTCTTAAGTATTAAAATATTAATAATAGCAATTAATCAAATCTTTTCCTTTTATATTATGAACAAAATACAAACAAAGAACTTTGAACAAATTCTAATATCCTTACCATTAATGAAAAAGTGCCAAAATAATATTCATATTTTTTTCCATATTGTAATTATTTATTACTCTCAACTCAAACTATTAATTCCTTTAACTCCTGCTGTTCATTAAAATAAAAAAAGTGATGTCATGGTGATTAATGAAAATATCATACTGAAAACGTGAGGAAAGAAACACACAGCGCACAGTCTTTCAGACCATGAAAAACTGAACTGGCATTTCTTGTTGGAGGTTACAGTTAATCAAACAATCTGCACATAGTCACAAACTATGCAAGACTTTTATTATTTTACTTCTAAGTCATATGATTCACAACCTGTGAAACATAACAGTACCTAATGAATTAAACTGAACTTTCATTATTTTCTTTTGTTCTGGATGTTTGGTCAGAATTAGGTTTTATTGAAAGAGAATTTAATAAAGAAAATGTATATAAATTATCACAGATACGTTTACCGGAATTCTGAAATCTTTTTGTAGCTTGCAGGTTCATGATTGTATTATATTATACATATAAATATCTATATACGAGAGTATGCCGTTTGTATAAGTTATATTAATTAAATGTGTACATAATAAATCATCAGAAACTTTTTGAATCAGTTTGTGCTTATTTACTTTACTTTGCATGGTTAATTCACTGAACATACTTTTTTATTGTTTAATTATTTTATTATATTTATATATTTCGCATACATTTCTAACGCTAATCTAATTGGTGAGATGCATAAGAAAATTTAATGATTTTTTTCGAAACAATAAAGATCTTAAATTTCATTTAAACAGAATCATTAATCAACAGTTTTAAAAAATATCTTCTTCCTACCTGATCTAGTATATCGATTATTATATCATTTGCATCGATCAGGACTACACTATTAGAAATAAAACCCTCACTTTTAACGATTCAGCAATCCTCGATCGTTAGTTTCAGAAATCATTTCATCACGAAATCTCGATTTGTGACGAGACGCGAACTCAGAGATATCTGACAAAAATGCTTCCTAAACTCGAAAACTCATCGTTGTGCATTGTGAGAAATTCTTAACTAGAATAACGGAACTAGGATGGAGACTAAACAATCGAAAATAAAATCACCAGCCTGTATAATGAACCAACTTGTAAAGACCAGCCTGCATAATGGTTGAAGAGTTCCAGGAAGATCCGGGGTTCAAATCCCGCTTCGGTCTTGGGTGTAGGTTACCTGTCTGCTCTATCCGTCCTTTTTGTGCTGAGGCACATGTATGGTGCTTGCATTAAAGTGATTACTAAAGAAATTAGGCACTTTTTGGAGAAAAAAAAATAGAAAGACGAAATGTTTTTTTAAACTTTTACGAAATTCATTTCCCAGGAGAAATGACTATTGTTATTTCGTCACTTTGACATAATTTTTGCTTGGAGCATATACCAGGAAACGATTTCGGCAAAAAGGAAGAAAGTATAATCCACTGTACAATCTATAACGATTATATAGCTTTAAAAAAAGAATGATAAATCACACAAAAAGTATTTTTAATGCCTAAAGGCTTAAAAAATTTTTTTAAGATATATTAATAAATATTTATTAATATTTATTAAAACATCTAAGCATTAAAAAACCTGAACTGTGCATAAATAGAAGAATTCAATGGGCACATTGAAAAATAGGATAAACCTTCTTTGGTAACTGAAAATAATGTTCTTAAAATACGTAAATTAATTCTTATTAATATATATTATATTTATAAGAATTGAATAATATTCCCTTTTTATAAAAATTGATTTATATTATCAATTTTTATAAAAGGGAATATTATTTCTATATTCAGAACATGAAAAATTCGTTAAAAACACAAATACAGCATTTTAACAAAGTTATCACACATATTTATTTAATACGGTTCTTTATGTTAAAAATGTAATTATTTTACGATTAGAATGTTAATATTAATATATACGAAATTGTTATTTAAAGATGAGAGCAAGTGTGATTTAATTACTAAATGCTAATTCTTTTATACATATAACACGATTCTGCTCAAAATAATGCACAGAAAATAAAATAGCAGTTTGAAGAAGATGACCAACTCAAAATTATATCTAAATATTATTGCTTCTTTGTTTTTTTTTTTAATAGCTAATTAAAAGAAATGTAGGATACCATAACATATGTGGGATACAAACTACCAAAATTTATCATATTCTGGTAGTTTCGACATTTTTTCTCAGCGTATATTTAAATTCAAGAACATTGTTTCACATAATGTAACACAATCTTTATGAACATTACAATACATTGCGACAATACCAGGTGTTGCTAACTCCCATAACGAGTTTCCCAAACCATATGGCGACCAATTTTATCTTGCTGGACTCATGTTAGGAAAAAAAATGGGAATGCTGACAAATGCTACTGAAGGAGGGGGAGCAGTAAAAACAAATGTAAAAATAAACAGCCCAATATGAAAGAAACTGGACAGGTGTGGCCGGCAGAGGGTGGTCACGGTAGTCATGGTAGCGCCAGAACTAACACACTGTAACGGGTTCGATCGTCTCTGTCCTTTCACGCGTACATGAATACAGATTTGTAAAACAAAAAGGTACCACAGATATCAAATATAATTTTTATATGTGTTGAAAGTTTCTCGAACGTTTTGCATTTGGCACAGAAATAATGCTTTTTGATCAAAACATCCCGTATAGAAAATTGGATTTAGAATTTAATAATTAAATATTTGTTAATGGCTTAATAGCGCAACAATAAATATGGTGGAAATATGAAATATTTAATTCTTTTTATGCTCATTCGATTGGTTTTCATGCTAACATTTATAAATATACATACAAAGGAATCAAATAAT